CCTGCCCTTCGTGGCTGGAATCGATGTGGCAGAATTTCAGTTCCTCACCCCGCCCAAAATAATGCCTGAAATGCTAGCAAACGGTAATTTGAAATTTGAGAGTTACTGTTACAAGCTGACATTCTTTTTACATGACTACCCAGCAGAGTTTTGCAGTGCAGGGTGATTTATTCGTGGGTGTTTTTATCAGCAAATGAATAAACCAATTAGTGTTTTTTTTTTCTTTTTCTTTTTTTCTTTTGATCTGAATGCCTAACACAACAGCACCGTTTGCTGCATTATCAATACTAAGATAAGGATAATAGGCTGCTCATTTTTTTTCCTGTCGAAAATATTACTTGTAGAAGAACAACATTTTAAAAACTGATATTTTAGTGAGAAGGTGTATTTTTTTATTCCCCCCTTCATCTTCGGATTGTGCCAAATTTATTTCTATGTCTGCTTTAATTACTTTCCAAACTGTAGCCCTGTAAAGCACTACAGTTCTCAAATCTAGCTCTCCTCCCACCCCCCAAATAGAAAACTATTTTCTTTGCCTGTGCAAGTGCAATGAAAATTTTGTTTTGTTAGAAACCTCTAATTTTCATCTACAATTCATTCTTTTAAGAAAATCTCTTTTGTATTCTTTCCTCGAATTTATCTTCACCTTCTTTTTCTTTTCTCCTAGTTCTCCTTGGAATTTTCTACCATTTGTAGCAATGTGTACGTAGTGATTCATCTTTAGAGAATAGAAAAGGCATCAGCTGTAGGTATAGATATCTTCCTTGGCAATGGGTAAATCCGTGTGAGAGGAATGGGAATGAAAAAGGGTAAACCCTGGTTCTCCTTACTCATAGAAGAAGTTCCATTAATTCAATGGGTTTACTGGTCTGGGTAGAGCAAACAGGATCGGTCCCTATCAGTTATATTAAATGAATCCAGTTAGCCTGGTAATTGAATATTCTGGAGACTGGATTTCTATTTTTTATCAAAGATCTTCTTAATTTCAGAAGAAATAAAGTATTTGAAAACTCTCCATACTTGTTAAAAAGGAACGGTTATCTCCTCACGCTGCAAGATACAATACTAGCCATAACACACTGGAGGGTTTTGGCTTCCCCCGCCTCCCAAATCTGCTGTTTTGGAATCGCGTTTTAAAGTTACTAGTCAGCTAGACTTGAAGGAGACTACACTTGCCTGGGGAGCAGGGCTTGCTTATCTGTGTGGAGGAACATGTACTGAACGTGCCTGACGGCGCAGTGAGCTAAGCCGCTGCGCTGCTGTGGCTTTCGTAGGAGCTGACAGTGTCCAGGGTTTGTAGTAAGTGCTCAGCACCTGGCAGGACCGGCTCCAAACCGAGCCCCTTTGCAAACCCAGCTTTAATGTTTTTCTTACGCGGCTTCATTCCTAATACTGCCTTGTTGTTTTAGGTTACCGTCCTATTCCAACAGACCCTTACCTGGGAGGGAATTCGCCCTTGCCACCCCCTGTAAGTGACAGGATGAGAAAGAGACGGGCTTTTGCTGATAAAGAGTTGGAGAACATTATGCTAGAGAGAGAGTACAAAGAGAGAGAGATGATGGAAGCTACACAAGCAGCTGCCCTTTTTCTCCCTAACCGCATGGTGCATGGAGCTGAATACAACTCGTATAAAGCAGCCTTCAACGCTGCTCAAGTTGATACTCCGAACAAGGAGTTTTGCAATTTTTTACCAGCCTGCCTTGATCTAACCATGCAGTATTCAGGATCCAGCAACATGGAACTAATTTCTTCAAATGTCAGTGTAGCTACTACCTACAGGCAGTATCCCCTGTCTTCTAGGTTCTTAGTGTGGCCAAAATGTGGCCCCATTAGTGATGCTCTCCTCTACCAGCAATGCCTGTTAAATGCTACCACCGTCCAAGCTCTCAAACCTGGGGCAGGTTGGGATGCCAAGGTCTCACAAAGTCAGGACTGTCCAAACACTGAGCATGACATCATGTCTCCAAAACTGGAAAATTCACTTGTTCTGACCCACACGCAAGACATTCAACAGTCATGTAATGAGATACCGTGCCTTCCTCAGGAAGCTCGTGAGAGGTCAGCTTTCTCTCCTCCAAAAAGGACTTTCTCTCAGATTTCTGATAAGGATTCTCTGGCTCCTCAGGAGCAGATATTAAGCAAAATCAGCAAAGACAGTACCAAGCCCTCTCCATCACTCAAATACAATCCATTTCAGTCACTGTTCCAGCAAACGTTTCCTGACAGATCAGGAGCAGAGATGAGAACAACATTTGTAAAAGAGACTTTTGAAGATGCCTCTAAGAAATACAGAGAGTGTGCCATTAAAGAGAACCAGAAATACAAGTTTACAATAGACAAACGTGCAAAAGACTTCTTTGGGGCCAAAGAGGCCACAACAAAACATTCAACAACTGAGCCACTGTCATTTTCAGTTGAATCCATCCTTAAACGACCTTCTTCTGCAGTTGCTAATGTCTCTCAATGAATAAACTATACCTTCAGTGTAGGAAGTTTGTATGCTTTGCCTTCTACAGAATTGCTACTGTCTGCCTTGTCTCTTAAAAGATTTGTAAAGAGGAATTCATGCTGTAAATGGTAATTCTTTCTTTTATCTCAAATGATGTACATAAATATGCATGTTTTCTCTTCTAAAAAATAAATATATTTAATTTTTTAAAATAGAAACTGCATGTACAGACTGTAAAGTGTTGTTACTTTAAGCAGCATTTCAAACCATTCAATAAAATGAGATTACCTACCAGCATAGGTGTATTCCTGATCTCTGTTTTGTCTCTAGTATCTCACAGGCAAGTATGCCCTACTTTCAGAATATACTTATACTTTCAGCTGCTATTATCAATGTACTTACTAGTTATCTTGGTGGGGTAAACAGTCGTTTCTGCTTTGAACCTCCAGTAGCTAAGAGAAGAAATAACAACGGTGCACATAGACTAGTGTGAATTTGCAAGACTTTTTTTATTAACTTAAATGAGGTTTGGATCAGATTCCAAATGCATTTCTCATTCTGAAGGGGGAATGACTGCTAGCCTAAAAGACTGCTTTTTTCCACACCTCTCTAGAAGGGTTACTAGACTGGATTTGAGGAGAATGGCTCTGGTGAGCCTTTGGATAAAAAGTCAGCATTTTTTAATATTCATGTTTTGAATAAAAGGTCTGTCTTTTTTTTGGTTTTTTTTTGTTTTTTTTTTTTTTATGTTCAGCTGACTTTACGCTGGATTTCCAACCCCTAAAATATTTCCCTTCTGAAAACATTTCACCTTTGACCAAGAAGAGCCCAAGATTCTTGTGATGTGGTAATTGAAATGATGTTTAGGCTGTAAAAATGATGCACAGAATCATCATTGCTAATGAGAAATCAAGTAATGATCTCTCAGTTTTCTAATTCTTATGCCCTTTTGCAGGAATAGGAGAAATAAAGGAGATTGGCCAGTAGAATTTACCTGGGAACCTGAAATGCCCTCAAAGTTGTAGAAAAAGGTGTTACCAGCTGTCATTATGACTGAGCTTGAAGCTTTCTAAATTTGTGCTTTTGTGAGTTTTTCCTTATACATT